ATTCTTTCAGAGCACCCGTTGTAGAGTGTAGGGTTTAGGGAAAGTTTAGGGTTTGGGGTTTACTTTAGGTTGTAGGGTGTTGGGGATATATAGAGGTATTATAGGGATATGTAGCGTTTAGGATTTGGGGTTTAACAATTTAGGGGTTTAGGGTTTGGGTTTTAGGCTTTAGGCTGAAGAGTTTAGGATGTATGAGGTTTTTGCTTCTTACAGTCTACCAGGACCCTCCTTGTACCCTTAATTGGGGATATAGGGCCCCTAATAGTGGGTACTTAGGCCCTAATAGAGGGTAGGAGGAGGGTCTAGGTAGGGGCTTGTCCGGGGCCTTTAGCGACCATGCTGTTGGGCAGCCCTTGGGAAAGGCAGGGGTACAACCTACAAGCAGCAATTGCTAACCCGACATCCCTGTCCTGACACGGTAAACTCGGTCAAAACTGGATAAATCTGGGGCTCCATGTCTACAAATGATGCCTACATTGAGCCATGTCTACAAATAGTACCTTCTTTGGAATTTTGGAGGTCTAGGATAACAGACATGTGCGAAGACACCTGTGTATGGGGCCCCATACATAGCCGACAGGCCTGCAAAGCCAAACAAGAGAAGCCGTAAGATTAAATCCTGAAAGCGTAAAATGAAATCCTGAAAGCCTAAAATCAATTCCTGAAAGCCTAAATTTCTAAACTCCTAAACCCTAAAACCCTAAACCCCAAAATTCCAAAAAATTGAAAAATAAAAAATAAACCCTAAACCCTGTAAAGCCCATGGGGCTTAGGGAAACCGTGATCCTAAGCTGCATCCCGTGGGAGGCTCTTGGGATCCCCTCTGCAGAGTACAAAGGTGCCTGGAGCTACATCTTGCAGTGTCTTTTGGCTCACAAAGCCCTAAACCCTAAAGGCGGGAGGGCGGAATCTGGGGATGTAGACCTTAGGTGGACGCCCCACCCTGTAATACTGACTAGAAGGGATAATAAGTATTATATCGGGGTCCTATTCTATTCCTATTATACCACTATTTCAGGTTGGGGGCGTTTATCCTAATGTAGACCATTCATGGTAGGATTTGTGTCGGGGGAGTTCGGTATGTACAGGGTTGCGGGAGTAAGTTGGCTGCAGTGGAGGGTGTCGCGATTAGGGTTCTGGAGCTGAGGATCAAGGGCTTGTGCTTGCTTAGAAAACCATCTGTAAAGGGACTCTACTGGGAACCCCAAACCGGGAACCTCAAGAATATAGTAGGTATACAATAGGAATATACCTACCAGGGTCCGTATATTCCATCATATTCCTGCTATATTCTTGGGGTCCCCTATTTGGGGTTCCCAGTAGAGTCCCTTTAATCTGGTAGTTGATGGAAGTCCTGTTCTCACACAGGCTATGATGTCACAGGGTCAGCTCCTCTGGAAAGTCTGATGTAGGGTCATGTTGGGCTTAGATAGGGAATATGTAACGGTTTAGGGATGTTGTCCCTTCAATGAAGAAATTAAAGGAAATGAAATCGAAACTGGATTGATATGGAAGTTCCTATTGGGTACTGAGAGGATGTTCGTCTCCCCTACTAGTTAACCCTCTCCCCTACTAGTTAACCCACCCAAACCAACAAATATCTGCGCTAAAATATCAAGGTAGCATACTGGGTGGGTATTCATTTTGCGGGGGGCGTGCAGCCCTGATAAGAATCCTGGCAGAACCCAAAACCATTTGCCTAGTTAGGTTTCCAATCTTAAAAGAGACACCCAGACAGTTCCTAGGGTTTAGGGGTTCAGGGTTTAGGATGAATACCTGGGCCCCAAGAGTATGTAACATAATGGCCCTAAACCCCTAAAAATAGCCATGAAGGCCATCATTTTGCATACTTCTGGGGTTGAGGTAGTACTTATTTTGGGCCCTGAAGCCACTTTGGGCCGTAAAGTATACAAGAGTTCCTGTATTGGGCTAACTCGGGGCCTACACTCGGTGAGATCCCATACCTTAGCCCCCAAAGCCCGAACTTTCCCCCAAGGCCCATGACAGTCCTGGGAGCCTTAAACCCTAAATCCTAAGCTCCAACCCTGAATCCTAAACCTTGAACCCTAAATCCTAAGCCCTCAACCGAAAACCCTAAACCCTAAATCCTAAGCCCAAAATCCTAAGCCCTAAGCCCTACACCCTAGACCCTAAATTGTTGAGAGCCTCAGGTTAGGCAATATCCTGCTCGTGACCCTGAGGCTGCTGTCGTGCAGGGCGACTCCAAGATCGAGGACTACTGCTGCTAGGCCGGACGCTCTAGGGTTTAGCGGCTAATCCTACACCTGAAACCCAAAGACCTAGATGGGGCACGAAGTGCACAAATGCTCAAGTACCTACTCTTACTGGGGTCTAGTAGGGAATATGGGAATAGCATTATAATCCCCATAAATGTACCCTTATTCCCTACTAGCCCCCCAGTACCTAGTTAGAGCCTTGAAGTTGGTAGATATGACGATTGTTGCGCCATGTGGAGCCCTGGAGTTTGTCTGGTCTTGGGTTCATGGGTTGAAGCTTATTCTTTTGGGTTTCATTCGGTTAGGAGTTTCGGGTTTCGGTTTGGGGTGTGCGTTTTAGAGCTTCATGATTGAGGTTTTGGTAAAGTAGTGCCGACATGATGTGGATTTTTTGGCCAAGAGATCCGGCTCCCTAAAACGCTAAACCCGAAACCTGGGGGTTGGGGTGCGGACATAGATAGGCCTCAGGCTCCTTTGTACTGTACAGACGCAAAGAGTTGTGCAAAAGAGGTACCTAAGCCCCAAAAGTATGTAAAATAATAGCCCTAAACCCCTAAGAATAGCCATAAACATACTTTTGGGGTCCTAAACCCTGGAATATATAGTAGTTTCCATTTTCTTTTCCATTATTTTGCATGACCAGTACCCAAGAGCACTACTCCTTAGGCCTTCCAGGTGTCATATTCGTTTGCGTTCACTTTTCCTGCCGGGGTTGAAAAGAGGAGTTCTGTACGTATGAAAGGGCATGCGTAGAAGGGTACTCGGGACTTTGAATGTACTATGTTGGATTGACAAGGGGGGGCAACTCTCTGGAATCAGATTTCGCGTTTGGGAGCTGGGGATCAGCCTTGCTGTTCAGACTTCCAGCGTTCCTACGGCTCAAAGGAGTCAGGAGAACGACTTCATACCGCTCGGTACGGTAAGTTCACGAAGTGCTGCTGCCGCCGCCCCTCTCCCGCAGTGATTGCTGCCAATGCCGCCAGGTACCCTGTATTAGGGCCTAAGTACCCACCATTAGGGACCATATCTCCCCAATTAAGGGTACAAGGAAGGTCCTGGTATCTAATCCCCTTTAAGGAGTTTAGACTACCTAAACCTCTTACGTCATGAGTTGCTTGCTGTGGCCGCACTAGGAAGCAGGCCTCCCTCGGATGTCAAACACCCCGTTTCCCTAATCGTTCCCTCTAGCAGCCTAGACAGGTTGTTGTGGTACGGGGTCGGGGATGGGGGGGGTTTAACATGGGCGGAAACGATTCTGCATTACAGCATGGCGCTCCAGGCGGCGATATCTTCAGGCTACCATGCATGCTGAGATAATATGTTAATTCGTTTCCATACTAAGGGGACGAGCTTCAAGTTGCTTTGTACATTTCGCTGAGGCACAGCAAAAAGTCGCCCCCCTTGATTGTAGACATTATGTACCACAACACTCATCTTGATGCTTGTTACAACACTCTGTGCAGTCATGAGTCAGTGTGTCTGTCCGATCAGCTTCATAATTTGTCATAAGTACCTTTCCTGGTCCTCCTGTAGTCCCTAAACCCTAAATCCGATATACACTTGTCACGCCTCAACGGGACCTCAGAGTAGTCCTACTTCGAGTATTGACTTGTACTGCTTATGTAAAAAACCTTGCATGCTTCAAGTATACTATAATAGCATAATACTCAAGGTATAAGATACTTGATAAGGTTCATGCATGAATTTGTTGTCTATCCACTGTAGCCACCCTCTCCCAATCTCTACTCGCTACGGATTGAGGCAAAAGCCGAACCCATTTTTTGGATCAGCTGTGGCTGTTCACCAGTAGCTGCTGCCTCCCCGAAGGATGTATGTGAGCTACTGTCCGTATTAGGCTTACCAAGAGACCATTAGCAGTGGACATAGAGTTCCCTTTTGTAGTGTAGTATAGTCCCAAATATAATCACCAATAAGGGCCCCATGTCCACTAAATTATGTAGGAAATATTCCCTGAACCCTGAACGCTAAACCTTAAACCAGAAGCCCTTCAACTATAGACTCTAGTAATTGTAGCTCACATAGGGATAAGGGGTTTTGAGGTTTCAGGGTTCTGGCATTACTTGGAGATTCCGTTGACTCCAGTTTATGTCAACATGAGCTGTAGTCTAAGCTCACTGCAGGGGGACTTATATAGGGATTAGGGTTCAGGTTGTAGGATTCAGGGTTTAGGGTTTACAGTCTAAACTCCTTAAAGAGGGTTATATAGGTGACTAGGATTCCCTTTATAGGGATAATTGAGGGGGATACTAGTAGTTGAGACCATAGCTCACATTATCCTAGGTTCCTACAACAAGGATCTCCAGGTATTGCTCGCGTACTGCCCCCACTCTCTAACAGTTGGACAATATTTATATAATCTACGTTAAATGCGAAGCCCCTAGTATGGCCCCTAATATAGACTGTTACAGGGTGGGGGCAGTATCCGAGGCATTGCTGCGCGGTTTCTGATAAAGACCGCAGCCCTGAGAATAATGACACTGGTCCATGCTGACATGACATCGCCATCCTTGACGGACGGAATATTCTTTTGGAAAGAGGCTAAACCCCAATCCCCAACTCCTCAACCATATGAATTAAACCGTAAGCCCCAATGCTTAAACCTCAAGTTGTAGTTGATCAGGATTCCTGTTCCCCAATGGGCCATTATGCAGAATGGCATCCCCTATATCACCCCTTCCAGAGTTAGAGGATACCTAACTAATTACCCCAAAGGACCTTTTAGATCAACCCTCCCATGTGAAGGCTTGGGTCATGCTCTGGCGGGCTTACCAAGACACTGGTCTGAATTGGTATAGGGTGCACAGGGCTAGGCTTACAAAGATTTTTTAATTTTCACTGCCCTTAATCCCTATATCATCCTCATGAAGCCATAATTTCTCACTAAACCCTAAACCCTAAACCCAAACGTACCCTAGTTTAGGGTTCAGGTACTGCAGAGGCCTTGGAGTTGAGGCTTACAGGCAAAGAGGGCGCTCAGCTAGGGATCTTCTTTTGGGGGTCCTTATAATTAGGATGATAGAAGTTGGGGGTCTATATTGGGGTACCCCTATTTAGGAAAACTACCATTACTGCATTGTTTTTTAGGGGGGACATATCGATTCTGAAATGGCCACTGTTCTTGAAAGGCCCGAATACTTGTTTGCCAGTTCTGGTCTTCGTTTTGATCAGGATACTTTAGACTACGGTAATTTAGTGGGATCTTTGCTACAACCTCTATCATACTAGGCAGGTGGATTAAACCTGGGGATAACATTGAGGGAGTGTAAAGGTGGTGCCTCAGGGTTATGGATAGGACTTGCGGGGCGTAAAGTACAGAAAGTGTTGCACATGTTTGCAGAACTTGGCACCTGCAGTTCTAAAAGTCCTACTATGACCCCCGGATCTTGCTATTGTAGCCGGTTTAGAGATATCGCTGAGGGTGCGTACTTCTAATGCTTCAGTACATGCGATGTTCACAAAGGTGCTTCTACACTAGCTGCTTGTTCGGCCCTGACTCCCAAACAGCCTGCGCATTACGTCCGGTATCTTTGGTGCTTCATAGCTGGACAAAATGCTCAGGGTCCACGCGCGCAAGTGTTGAGGCTTCAGGCATTACATGCTTGAATCTGAATGGCTCAGAGATCTGAGGCCCAATGTTCGAGCGGATATTCGAGCATTTGCACCCTTAGGGAATGATATGAGCTGTCGTCGAAGGTTATATAGGGGATTTCATGATGGACTACTATACCAGGAGTTTAGACCCTAAACCCTAAACCATGTATTATGGGGGTTATTGATGGGGATACTAGGAGTTTAGACTATGGCTCATATGAGTTCAGGCTCTTTGTCACCCTCAACCTCAAACCCCCTGCAAATCACTATGCACTATGATTAGTATTGCTACTATGATTATTTCTATGATTACTATTATCATTATTTCTGTTATTACTTTTATGTCATTATCACTATTATTGGACTGTTCTTATTGCCCGAAATTCTGAACTAGCCGCTCCTTCTTAGGGAATGCTGACCAGCTACGACGGTTCCTGCGACAGGCAGCTGTGGAGCAGCATCTGTGACTGATTTAGAGGGATTCCAGCAGTGGAATGCAGAATCACACGGGAAAATAGATTGGAATGTCGGGGTTGCTAGGGAAATTTTGTTTTGGAAGTGAAGGGTGTGGGGGCATCAGGGTTAGGGTTTGGGGTTTAGAGTTTGGGGACTTGGCTCAGGATTCAGGAGTCCAGGGTCCCAGGACCCAGTGTTCAGCGTCCTTCAGTAGAGCGCTGAACATCGCCACCAGGGTGAAGGCCACAAAGCTGTTTCATGTATAACCCCTATATAACTAACCCCTATATAACCCAGAAAACCCCTAAATATCCGCCATATGACCCCAATATAGTCTCTATATAACGCTACTATGTATAGCTGTTCCATGATGTTCTACCCATGTTCTAGCAGCTGGTCAGCACGAAGAGACTCCCTGGGACTTAGCTTGGACCTTAGACCCTTAACCCTTTGGGATTGCCTTATACTCCTGTTATAGGTAATTAAGGGTTAACCCTTAGTAGGGGTCCTAAGTGCCACGTAGGAGATTCAGGGCTAAGTGTGTAGGAGCTGGAGTGACTTAGGGTGCTAGCTGTATAACTGAGGGTCTTATTTGGGTTTCGGGTTCAGGGCTTATGGGTTTAGGGATTATGGGTATAGGTTTATGGGTTTAGGCATGAGTCCGGAAGAATTCTAACGTGATCCCTGCATGGGCATCCTGATACTCTAGGGTTTAGGGTTTAGGTTTGGAGGTTCAGGGTCGCCACAACCGATTTAGTCCTTGCGCTGCGTCGCCGGAGAGGGACCAACATCAGGAGAATATCAACTGGGCTGTGAAGGGTCGCTACGAAGCAAGAACTTCCCCGATTTAGGGTTTAGGGTTTAGGGTTTAGGGCCCATAAACTCCAAACCCTGAACCCTAAGCCCTATCTTTCTATATGCTTATATCTTACACCCATCTGAAGGCAAATATCTGACCCGATAGGAGTTCACATGTTTTCGGGACCCCCGACCTACCCCAAAGCCCAATCCTCATAAGCCCTAAACCTAACGCTTAAGCGATGGCTAGAATCCCCTAAGCCCTAAACCCTAAACCCTGAGCACAAAAACCCCAGGATCGAAGCAACAGCGACAGCAGCTGGCCCAGAACTGAAGGAGTCGTCGGAGCAAGATGATGAGTACCTTGGCTGTTTAGGTTTAGGGATTAGGGTTTAGGGTTTAGGGTTTGAAGTTTTAGGGTTGCAGCCCTTTTGGGGGCCCTAGTCATGAGGATTATAATAGTTGGTGTCTATGTCCGGTCCCCTTGTTTAGGGAAACTACAATCTATGATTCAGGGTTCAGGGTTTAGGGCTTGAAGTGTGGGATTTGGGGTAACGTAGTCCCACGGTTGATACCAAAGGGTCCTTTAAAGGTAGAGGTTATATGTGCGAACAGATAGGGACACATATTATATATGTGTGTGTGTATATACACACGCATACCTGCGCCCCAAAAGCATGTAAAATGATAGCCCTAAACCCCTAATAGTAGCCATGAAAAAGGCCATTACTTTACATACTTTTGGCGTTCAGGTAGAGCTTAGGGATTACAGGCTAGGGCGTTCATATTGCAAAAATCTGCATGTCCCTCAGCACCGTCTACCTTAGAAATGATTGTATTCGTGTTCGTTTTAGGTCAATGCCCCCTACAGTCAGAACCCTTAAATATGGAGTTGGTAGGGCCTTAATATACCTACAATAGTTCCTCGTGGTATCCACTACTGGTTGGGGGTTTGACCCAAAGTTTGTTGTGCTCATGCACGGTTGCGGTTTGCCTGCTCCACGATACCAAGTAGGGTTTGGAGGGTTTAGCATGCCCTAACCATAACGATCGTGTTCCAAGAGCATACGGTGACCGGAGCATCCACGCCCAAACCATAGCGACGTTCGTGGTCTAACTGCAGTGGGGCACCAGAGCATCCCAGCCCAAGCCATGAAAGACAAGGGTTTAGGGTTTAAGGCAAACACTTCAACTTTCCTAGAACATTGCTGCAAAGACTGGTGTTTCCACGACGCAGGCGGGGGAAGGTCTGTATGCATGGAAATGCTGTGCTTGCCAGCCAAAAATGTAAGCTGGCTGAACGCAAGACCACTTCCTGAAGGCTGCGTAGCTGAAACTAGTCAAGATCACAAAAAAAAAGCGCTAAATGACCAGGCTTCCTGCTTTTCGTTAGAGAATTTTAAACCTGCGGTCGGAATATGCCTTGGAAAGTTGCCACAGCTAGAAGTGCTGCGCTTGCCATAAATTACCTCCAAAGCCCCTTGGGCAAACAATAGCGATGCGCCCTCGGGAGAGGCTACCCAGACGTCCGAAAGGATCCAAAAAAGGGAACCGCCTAGTGATCCCCTAGTTTCCCCAAGGTAGTAATGGGTCCATACTGGGAGGGGGGATTCCATTTCTTGGTTCCTGTAGGGGGTCAGGGTAGATGCAAGGTGGAAGGGATGGGAATTTCAAAGCATGGTTTGGGGGTCCCTGGGATGATTTAGGTTTATGTTGGCGCGCCTAGTTAGCCATATGTATATATAAGCAGCTTGTTGCAAGAGCGACCTTATGCATGCAAATAAGGTGTGGTCACACTCTTGCATGACTCCACATGCCGCCTGGGAATTATGGTAGTATACTTTACACACACAGGCTCATGCAGCATTATTTTCATCAACAGTACTTTTCGTTTCCAGTGGAAGAAACGGAGAGATGCTGGACTGTGCCCGCCGTGCTCCGAAAGAAGTTATTTTCCTGCAGGAGTATATCTTCCATCTTCGGGGAACCCTGAAAAAGTTTTTACATTCTCAGGGCTCATTTCACTGGGGCTGATTCAAATCTAGACCCTAAATCTGTTTAAGCCCTACCTGGACCCCAAAAGTATGTGAAGTAATGGCCCTTATGGCTTTTATTAAGGGTTTAGGGCTATCATTTTACATACTTTTGGGGCTTCGGTAGACCCTTAAAGAACTTCAATGAAATCGGACCTTCGAAGATGACATTCGAACATAGGAGACTCAAAAATATTTGAGTAGTTTGAATAGTGTTGTTGGGTAGAATTTGGCCTAAGCGCTAAACCCTACCCCCTATTTCATCACAAGAAAAAATTAAAATGGGGGTTGTTGGGGAAGGATTACAATACCCATACAGATACTGCCGCCACTCCGTCTCAGTTGGATAATGGTTTAGGGTTGACGATTAGGGTTTAAGTGTGTTTATATATGTGTGTACATATACGTATATATATATATATGTATATGTATATGTATATGTGCATAAGTATGTATAGATCTTTTTTAGCCCGTAAAGAGATTTACTGGATGTTGGCAGCACCCACCCAAATATGCAGAGCCCGAGGGTTCAGCGTGCTCCTCCTTGTTGAACAAGTGTTGCATTGAGGTACGGCTCGATCAGGATAAGGCATACTCATTTCATGATGATGGGCCCTGGAAGTGGGGGTTTACGAAACAAACAGGAGTGTTTTCGGGAAAGGCTTACAATGCTAATATAGTATTTGACTGCAACTCATACCGGCACCAATTCTGAGAAATCCTCGAGTAGGCAAAAGATGTAAGCCCCATCTCACAAACCCAAAGCACACATCTCATCCCACAACATGGTCCTACATCCAGGAGCCTCAGCTCAAGTAAATCAGGTCACCCAAATTCCCTAAACCTTAGACCCTAAACTGTGTACACTCTCAACCCTGAACTCTACACCCTGCCCTCTGCCAACTCTACAGCACAAATCCCAAACTCTAGACCCCGAACCTTAAGCCCTATAAAAATCCTGACAGCAGTCCCCGGTGCTTCAAGGGATGCCTTAGCAAACTACTCGCAGATCTTCACCGGTCTGCAGTGCTTCGCAGCTGGGATTCTCTGGGTTTAGGGTTTGGAGGTTTAGAGGTTTAGGGAATTCAGCGGGTTAGTTCTTGAAGCACGAGATTTCAGGGTGTTGGGTTTTCCTGCGTGCAGGCTATGGAGGAATGGAAAAGGAAATGGGCACTTCTACCTTATTGACAAATGGAGGATATGCGGCTCCTCCGTTCCCTACAAGCAACCAGCAAGTTTGGGGGGTTAGCGTTTAGAGTTGTTGGCTAAAATGGTCCGTTTACAACCCAGAAAGAAGCCACATAGGAGCATGCACCCAAAAGAACGAAAATACATGCTTTTATATTAAACCCCTATATAGTATAATCCCTTACATTAAATCCCGATATGCAATTTGACAACTTGCCATAGGATTGCCAGGAGTTGTATGGCGTCTTCCCTAAATTACTAAACCCTAAACCCGCAACACCTAAACCCTAAACCCAGTCAGACTGCTGGGCTTCATATTGCTACTACAAGCGGCCTGAACAACAGTCAATGTGGTGGTCAAAATTATGATCCCTTTTCGGGGTGCCATAAATATTAGATGCCGTATTATGATAAGGACCCGCCAGGGACCATAGCTATGACAGCCACCCGAATTGGAGGTTTCCCAGAATTGGGGGTACTTTTTTCTGATCTTCTATTTTGGGGGATCTGTTTTGAGGTCCCCCTTCTTAAGGAAATTACCAAATCTCTAGTATGAATATAGTGAAAGGTATCTCAAGTAACCTTCAAAGTTATGTTGGCACTTGTTCTGGATTCTACACGGTTTTAGTGATCCTTATATGATCCTTTTCGAATACTAGGGAAGCAAATGGGAAAGAACAACGGAAAATGCAATTGGGAACTGGGTTTAGAAAGGGATTTATTGGGGTGGGGTGTGTAGGTGGGTAACTACACAAGTTATAACCTGGTACATGTAATATCCCTTTGCCTCCTATAACTACTTGTCTGGAAAACGTTCAGGTGTCCCTACCCCGGCTAGAACCAAGTAGAGTAGTGCAGCAGCCCAAACAATTACCAGCATGTTCCTCTAACAATCCTTGTGTAAGTATTATATGATGTACCCCAAGGACTCGTTTTAACTCATCTAGGCTCCTGCATGAAGAAGAAACAGCCCTTAACCCTAAACCCTCTGTGGATTTGTTTTCTCTGCGGCGACTAGTGTCTCTAAGTCCCGAAGCACGCTCTTTGTAGCATTAATTGTAGGCTGGGATTGGCAAGAACCCTGTGAGCATATAGCGAGGTCCATCATAGAAAGGCGCACTAGAGATCCAAACATAGTAGAACACTGAGCATGGGAACCATCCAAAGCAGGATTCCTAACGTGTGGAGCCCCGAAACCGTATACACCGTTGTCTTCCATTCCGTTTCCTCATCTTCTGTTCCATTTGCTCACCCATTCTAGGAGTTTCCATTTCGTGTTTCATCATGTAGCTCTTAGCCCAAAAATCTGGTCGACCACGTAGTTCTACAGTATATATTTGGGGCCCAAAGGGGTTCCCATATAATTACCTTAGGGCCCAAGTATATACTATATAAGCTACATGGACCCTTTGGGATATGGTAGTTTCCCAAAATAAGGGGACCCGAAGATAGACCCCAAAAGACTATAACCCTTATCATTGGGACCCCCAAAAACGTACCCCGATTTTTTTGGAAACCCTAAACCCTATATAGTCCCTATACAATCCCTATATCTTTGGCAACCTAAACCCTAAACCCTAGACCTTTGCGGGCTTTGGGCATTGGGCGAGGGTCCACTGAGTTCAGTTGAGAAAATCTATACCTAACCCAAAGGGTCCAAGGACCCAAATAATAGGGTCCCTTTAAAGGGGTTATAGGGGGATATATATATATATAAGGATATCTGGGAATTGTATAACGGTCCAAGGACCCAAATAATAGGGTTTTCGGGCCCGAATACCACAAATATCATAGTATTTGGGCCCTAAAACCCCAATATTTGGGTACTTGGACCCTTAGGGTAAGCATGGCTTATTAGTATACTATACTACCATAAAAAGCAAGGTATCAGGCACGCGCTTGGGTTGATGCCCCTGAACGCCAGACCCTATAGCATCATTTTTTGAAGTAGGTTTGCTTCATGCTTGCTAACAGCAGCTGCATGCAGGTTCAGGTGCGCAGTCAAGGTGGTATGGGCTAGGCTAGGGCCTAGGGGTTTGGGGCCTAGAGGTTTAGGGTCTAGGGTTGAGGGTTAGGGCTCAGGACCTAGCTGAGTAGGCTATCAAGCTTACAATTTCTAGGTTTCTGTCCTGGGTGTCTAGACTTCTGCGCTGATGAACGTCCGTGACCTATAGTCCGCCTTTAATTAGATAGAATATGGAATTCCTGATATCATAATAAGATCCCCATAGACCCATATTCTATCTAAACAAGGGAGGCTATTTGAGCATTATTCAGAGGCATGGTAGGCCTGCAGATGGGGCTAGGCCTTGAAAAGTAGGCTGAGGAGGAGAAGAATTAGGTGGGTCCTTCCCCTGCTTCTTTGCGCCTACACCCTAACCCCAAAAGATTCGGGACTGTAGCCTGACAAACCTTCCCATTTCACCGCGCAGCTTAGGAATTCTTTGCTGGCGCCAAACCGGCTCTTGCAGAGGCAATGTTATGGTTTGGTAGCTTCCATAAACGGGGGGAATCTCAATAGACAGCAGCAACACTGCAAACCCTTTTTTGGGGACTCTTAAGGGGAACCCCTAAACTTTGGAACGCTGAACTCTAAGGCATATCTCCTTATACATTCCTGTAGAGATCATTCCACAAGGGTCTGCAGGTGCTATAAGTCTGCTCCTGTCATGCACGCGGTTAATATACATTCTGTGACAGCCTTTCATGAGAAAGGGTTCTGGGTCCTACATAAGGAGAGGAAGGGTATAGGGATGTTTTTTTTTTTTTCTCCGTGCAGATTTTTCAAACATCAAGGGCGGGTCTTTCAGTCAGGATTTTACTATGTTCGGGCCCATGCTGACTTAAGGGAAACTTCACATCAAAGGGGCTGGTGCTTGATGAGCAGAAGTCCAGGGCTCATGCTAGCAAACCTGAACCCGAAACCCGATGTGATCCAGAGCGTTGCCGCCGCGGTCTGCCAGCGCCCACCGAAAATTATAGGGTATATTGGGATTATATTGGGTTATATAGGGATAATAATGGAAAATAAAATGGAAACTGTTACAATGGGTTCTATAGGGTATATTGGGATTCTATTGGACGTCAAAATGCAGATTGAGGTCATGTAGTTTGGATGCTGGAAATCTTTGAATGATGTCTGCGAGTGCCGCACTTCGAGTTCGAACAGGTACAAGACGCGTAAGAGGTTGCTATCATGTGACTCTTCTGCGGTCTTTGTCTGGTGGGCTTGAACGCGCCCTAAATCCTATTTAAACCCCTAAACCCTAAACCCACTTCTCCTGCCTCAGCAGAGTTGCTCAGCTCTTCGGGCAAGTGCCTTTGCTAGACTTCTTGTTGGGTGCTCCTATCAATTATACGCCAGATCCTTCAAACAGAAAGGGCCTGCCATCAGAGACCAGTCGGTGTCGCAGACTCTTTGTAGCTATACTATGGACCCATATAGGAGCCCGATTATAGCCTACATGATCACCTGGAATATCTTTTTAGACATGAGGACATAGACCCTAAGCCTGGTCTTGAGACGTCGGATCACCTGGACGTCCCGGGGCAGTCGGACACCTTGCAAGATGAACTCCCTTCACCCTACGCCCTAAACGGAGATCCCTTAGTGACACCTTCATGTCATGCCGTTGCCTTCATGAAGAGATTGGTCTCTCTATCTATTTTTTGGGGTTTTAGGTGTCAAAGGCCGTTCAATCTATAGCACTTGAGATTACAAGCCGGGTTATTTAGGTACTCACTCAGTACTCGGGGCACTTAAGGTATTGCGGATTGCTTTATACGATGGCAGTCGGTCCTTCTCTTCGACCGGCAGGCGCGAATGATGACGTCCTTGATAGATGCTGCCCCCTGGCGGACACCAGAAGTAGTCAACAACAGACCCTGAACTGGCCTAAACCCTAAACCTAGTGTTGTGAAGGCTAGTAACGAACCCTTCAACCTACCCTTTAGGGTTTGGGGCTTAGAGGTCATGGATGGGCTATTTCAACGCCGGGGTTTTTGCCGCAATCAGGCATGCAAGCCATCGGCATGCGCAAGCCCGCCTGTAATCAAATGACGACCTGGTTGCCATGTCTTGATAAGTAGGTTGGAGCCAACTGGGCAGGCAAGTAGCCCAATATTCCCCACAATCTCTTCTGCGTTTGTGGGTTCACACAAGTAACGCAAGCGAGATGCCTCACTTCTGTGGACCCAACCCCCAGAAAGAGTAAGGTGATCAATGGTTGTCTTACCCTGAAGCACCATATTCTGTCATGACTATTAAAATACTGAAGTTTTACTACATTCTAGTTCTACGAAGCCAGTCTCATGTTCAGAAGACTCCGTTTGATGCAAGTTAAGGATTCGGGAATATTCAATATTCCTAGCTTGATCTTTGCTGGTGTCCTTACTGTGAGCCCAAGTAAGTATAGTATGTATAAATATATTTTTATAGGGGACCATTATGGGGCTTATTCGGGGGATACTAGGAGTTTAGACTACAGCGCAATGGTGCTCAATGACCGGCACTTGGCTTTGTCTAGGTAAGGTTAAACCGCTTCAGCAGTAACGAGGTAAGATCCTATGGTGTCATGAGTATTACCTGGACCCCTAAAAAGGTTTTCTGCGTTCTTTAGGGTTTTGGACCATGATTTTACCTATTTGGGGGTTTAGGCACAATAGAAAGCACGAGTGTTTCACAGTACACTTACTGAGGGCTCTTTGTGTCTTGCTGGTGGTTGGGCACGAAATGAAGGAGCGAAAAAGAAAGGTGAAAGTACTACATTATGGGAATGGGGGCTGCTAGAAGGATCCATTCCTTCGTTCCCTATAACCCCCAATCCAACCAGTAGGCTATGACCAAGGTGTCACCACACCTTCGCGGCAGAGCCTATGGAAAGCGCCGGGACAGCGGGCTCCAAATCTGCAAACAGATGGAAGTTTTCAAGATTAAGGGTTTGGGTGTAGGGTTCAGGGTTGATTACGGGCCCCTTTTTGTAGGGTTTCGGGCTTCGGCGTTTAGGCTTCAGTTGGGTTCACTGCAAGCATGAAGCCACTGGAAGCTGTCTTTGAATGTAGCTCATGCGTTTTTTTCCGAGTCCTAAGGTCTCGAATGCCTATACATTTTAAGGCCCAACGGCACCCTTCAGCAATGACCCAAGCAGTCAGGCAGGAAACAGAAACACGGGCATTGCAGTGGTGAGTTCATCTGAGGGAAAACTGCAGATTTGGACTTTTCAGGCGGACTCGGTCAAGGCTTAAGGTTTAGGGGGTTGGAGGTTTAGGGGTTTAGGGTTTATGGGCTGGAGGTTCCAGATTGTAAGTTCAACGGTAAGCCCTACCTTGACTTGAAAAGCTTGTAGACGCACGAGCCAGGACACCAAGGCCAGACTCTGAATTCTAGGGTTGAGGGTTTTAGGGGTTTAGGGCTAAGAGTTTAGGTTTTTTTCCTGTAGGCTGTGATGCAATAGAGGAGTTTCGCGAAGTATTTCCTACAAGATCAAGGTCCAAGTGCCCAAATACTGTGGCTTTAGGTCCAAAACCCACTAGAGTAGAGTGTGTGGTTCAGTACCTCAACTTGAGGTGGGCTTACATAATAAAGGTTTAAGAATTGGATTCAAGGGCTTCAAGCTCTAAATTCTTGACGCTTAGCTTTGACATGCATTTTACAAGCTAAGTGTATGCCTTAGGGCCCGGCAATCGAAGTAGACCCTGAACCCTATAACCCTAAACCCTATAAACCACGTGGCAGAAGCTGCGTGGAGCGGAGCCATGGCTTGGCGACTGGTAAAAGGATCCTGCATAGTGTCTAGGGTTCAGGGCTAAGGGCTATGTGCAACAAACGTTATGCATAGGGTTTAGGGTTTAGTAGGGTTCAGGGTTTAGGGCTATGCGCAAGAAATTTGATGCATTGGGTTTAGGGTTCCGTAGGGTTTCAGGGTTTAGGGCTATGCTCAAGAGCTTGCTTATGAACTATGGTAAGCGAGTACACTCTGAATCAAGCATCTGTTTAAGCCTTTTTCCCCTCAACAGAGTCCTACACCTTGTTGGAAAAAGCCTCGCCCATAGCCACCGTTTATAGACCGGGCCCCTCAAGTAAATATAATGTGATATAGGATCTCATTTTGATATTGGCAAATCCATATTCTATCTGCTAAAGGGGGGCTACATGGTTTCGAGTTCTGGTGATCTTACAGATGCCCCAGCTGAGGTTCTCGGCAGAAGTTGCGGATGTTCTGGTGGGAGCTCTTGGGAAGCACTGGCCCTGAACCCTAAACCCTTAAACGCTAAACCCTAAGACCCGACACCCCCAAGCCCTGAACCCAGGCATTAACAGGAGGGATTTGCCAGGGCGACACGAGTGTTTTGGGGTTTCGACAGACAAGGGGCCACTTTTCGGGAGTCCCTATAACAAGGACCATGTTTTATTCGGATTTATTTCAGGGCCCTCTTTTTTGAATCCCCCAAATAGAATCCAAAGGGTCCATGTAGTTATATAGTATTGACTTAGGGCCCAAAGGGTTTCCCACATAATTATATTAGGGCCCAAGTACTTACAATATAGCTACATGGACCCTTTGGGGAAAGTTTCACGCCAGTACAGAGACGAGGCGGGCAAGGCTTGACCTGCTGACCTTCTCCGGGGTCACGCATGTCATGGGGCAATCTTCAGCCCCGGCAGCACAACAACCTATAGTCCCCGTAAGTAGGTAGAATGTGGGGTATATAGGGTTCTTATTATATAACAAAGCCAAAGGCATATTCTATCAACTTAAGGGGGACTATAGGCTCGTGGTTAGAAAGAGACTTACCTATAGGGCTTACCGAAACCCCCGAAGTACCGCAGGTAGAAAAACGGCCTCCAAACCATCAAAACAGCCCAAAAGGCCATTATTCTACATACATTCGGGGTCCCGGTAGGGTGCAGTGGACACTGATAAACCCTAAACCCTAAAACCCTAAATTCTAAACCTTAAACCCTTAACCTTAAACACAGTATATTTGTGTTCCTAGCAGCCGAGGAGGGAGGATCGCGCTCGGTTCTGACTCTTAAAGCTTCAGGGCTTCGGTTTGAGGCGCGGTGCAGGGTTAGCTCTATCTACCAAGGTCAGATAAAGTTTTCTGGGTTTAGGGCTTAGGGGTTACTTAGTGTAACCTATATCCTTAAAAAGCGGGCTGTGTATGTAAAATTTTTGTATCTTTTCTGTCTTAAGGGTCTAAGGTTGCTCTAGGCATTCAAGGTTAAGGGGTTGCTCCTAAGTAGTTCTCTTCAGGAGTAGAACTATCATAATTCTGTTTAGGGTTTAACCAGCCCAGAAAGGAACACCTTTGGAGCGCATGAGCTCGGTGGGATTGACTCCATGCAGGGAGCTATATGAGTTGTAGTCTAAACTCCTCAACGCAGGTAATATGGGGGATTATGTAGGGGACTACTACAAGGCTTTTTTCAGAAGGGTACTAGGAGTTTAGACTATAGCTCATATGAGCTGCTGTCAATATAAGCCAAGGGACCATTAAGGGTAGACATAGGGGTCCCTTTGGTGGTGAAGTATAGTCCCTTACATATTTCCTAATAGGAACCCACGTCCATTAAATATACGGGGAATATTGTTTATAATTTTATAATTCATATGACGCGGAGGATACTAAACGTCCGGCATGACTCTTAGTAAGGTGTAATTTCCGGGGTTTTCGAGCATCAACTGTATGTAAGTTTCTCGAATCAATCCCTCTAGCAAGAAGGGTCCTAGAATACCTATCAATCCCCAGAAACCTCAACCTTATAACCCCAAAGCCCTAAACCCTACGTCCCGAAAATCCTATATCCCCATGGCCCATAACACTAAACCCAAGCAAGATCCGCCCCAGCCTAACAACCCCTAAACCCTAGAACCCCAAACCCCACATCCCCTTCCCCCAATTTGTTGAGAGACCTCCCCAAATTAGTTGATGCATGGCCAGCAGGTATTTACTTGGAGGCCCATGGGACTTAGTAACCACTTATACTTGCCGGATTGTTGTGGGGAGCGGGTTTGCTAGGGGAGCTGGTTTGCCAAAACCAAGGCTCAACGCACACAGTGCTTGATGATAAAATTGTAGAGTGCTCCATTGCTTTCGCACCAACCCGGACAATTCATGAAGTTACCCCCCCAGAATTGTTGTATGTCAATTCGAGAAGGGTTCTTTGTAATGCTTTTTGCTCTTTCGAAAAATACGCGATCACAGAAAACGTTTTCCAACCAGCAGTGTCAGACACTTGTCAAAGAAATCATAGCCCCGCCGGCTTTGGAAATTGATGCGCTTGGCATGAGAACAAAAAATGAACTCATAATTATCATTCCGCGAAAACCCGATGTGTTTTGAATGCACGTATGCAGTTTTTTTCTTGGAAACCAGTTCAACTTGCTTGGCGTGAGAAAGAGAAACTGGCTCATAACTTTCATTCCGCCAAAAGGACCAAATGATCAAGTTTAGAATGTGTTTCCATTTCCCAATAGGTTGAAACTTGTTATTGGACATCGGATTCAGTTGTGATTTGGTTGGAAAAGGATGCGAAGTTTCATGTCTGAATACATCAAAACTC